TCCCAGTTAACTTTGTTTCTGGGATGTACTTCTTTTTGGATGCTCTCTTCTCTTGAGTCCCTTGTTCCTGTTGAACATGGCCATAGGCTTCCCCTTCAGTGGATTCTGTTTAATTAGTGTTACTTTTTTTAGAAATCAATTATCTTCTCATGTGTCTCACCCTTCTTTTCACTTCTTGCTGTCATTATCATTATCCATACAAAATCAAATACTGCCCTTGAAGCTACTCTTTCTATCATTGACCATATTTCATTCCATTATAATAAGCTTCTGAAAAACATGGAAAGGTCATTCTTATATCATACATTGTAAACTTTCTCAGACCCGTCCCTATACTATACTCTTGTATTGCTTGGATATAAGCTTTCAGAGCCATGTTTAAACAGGTCAAAGTAACAAAATTCTACTTTAGCTATATTGAAAGACCATAGATTGTCAAATGAGATTGCAATAATCTCACTTTCTTTGACCATCTATCATTTTGTATGTATTTGTAAACTTCAAATCCTTGTTTTGTATCTGGTTAATAATATCAGGAGATATGCTCAACTTCATCTTGATGGCTTATTGGGTCAGAAGTTTCTTGTTTATAATCCCAGCCTTGACTTTGTGGATAAGAGCTTTGTACCAGATTAGGTTGAGATGTGGTTTTGGAGCCAAGAGCTTTTCCAAACATTCTGCTATGCAAGTTTGTACATTTCTTTAAAGAACACTGAAGTCTTTTGTTTGAAATTTTGTGTCATTTGGCCTTGATTTCTTTAACAATATTGTATGAATATTTTTCTTTGAAAAGGCTTTTTATATTCTTTCAATCATGAATTAACTCAGGATGTCAAATGGCTGAGAATTTGCTTTCAATCAGACATATAGTTGTTAAATATATTACTTATGGTGCTACAATGTGCATCCATGGTAACACATCACTGTATTAGTAGATCTGGGCAGTTAGTGGAATTTGTTAATCTATTAATTGTCAGGCTCATTAATTGATTACATTGAAGTAATCAATTATTTTCATGAGATGATAAAAAGCAAACAAACTTATACAGCTAAAAAATCAAGTTTCAATACCCATGTTGAGCAGAGCACAGAAAATAATAATAATTGAAAACCCTAATTTTGATTAATTGACTGTTTTTATTATCCGTGATACTAATTAATTAAGCTAAATAAACTTGAATTAATTGAAAATAATAATGAATAATCATAATGGTAATATTTTGATAATTGGAAGTGATTAAAAGTAATAATTGGGAACACTTATTTTAATTAGTTGATTATTTTCATGACATTAATTGATTTAATCATAATTTTGATTAATTGATTATTTTATGTGACACTAATCAATTTTATCACCTAGCTATATGTATGAGCACAATTAAATCATTTAAATAAAGTTCAGCTAATTGTCTGTAAGTAGCCATACATGGTGTAAGGGTAGGTATGTTTATTTATTAGATATCATGTAGAAATTTCAGCCTTTACTTATGTGATGCTTAGACACAGCTTTGAGAATAACTAACACAATTATATGATGTCATAAAACTAACTTACACTAGAGTGAAATGAGTGAGGAAAAGTCTTGAGTCTCTAAAATAGTGTTAAAGACTTTATTTTTTTGAATTGTGGATCATTGAAAAGTTATTGATTAAAGTCACCTTTTTTAAGATATATTACTCATTAAATGTGTTGCAAAATTCACAGTAGGCATGAAACTATTTTTTAATGTCTAATGATCTTAAATTATAGGAATGACAATAGTTATAATCTTAGATGAAGAAATGATTGCCAAACTAAAAGTAGATGTATGTGTCTACAAGTCTACTGAGCCTTTTTAAAATTAATTTTTACAAGGCTTAATATGTGTGTGTGTTTTTTTATAGGAACCTTCTAATACATATACACTCATTGGCCATTGCTGATAACTTTTTCATCATATGTTCCTTCTACTGAAAATGTGGAAGTTCTCATGTTGTTCAGTTGTTTTCTTTATGGCAATTCAGGGAAAATAGAGCAACAGAAACAGAACCATTTTGTTTCTGATTTCAAATCTATATTTTAGTAATCTGTTTTTCATATGGAGAGAGGATATCGTGTTCAAAAGTTTTACCAGGAAAAAAAAATATTATCAAAAGTTAGTCTAACTAATTTGTATGAGGTCTTATAAACCTGGCTTAGCTATTTGTATAAAACAGCTATATTTTCTGAAACATATCCAAGATTAAAAAACATAACATGAACAGTTATAGAATGTGATTTTTTATATTAAGAATTTTTATAGAAGAAATATGAGGGCTTCATTGACATTTTTTGTGAAAGAGCTTTGAATTTGTTTTAAAGAAAAGATTAAAACAATCCCTCTGTCTTAGTCACAGGAAAATTGAACCATTTCAAGTAAACATCCTATATATGTGCCTTTGTTTTAAAATACATGCAAATAACTCACTGGATTTTCCAAAAATTGATATGTTGTTTTAAAATAGGATAATTTTATTAAATTGTGTTATTATTGTTTGTAGTTATTCCATTTTTTTGAGAGAATAACAGTTAGTCTATTTCATCAAGAATAGACAATTTGAGCAAAATATAATAGCATTCATATGCTAATGCTTTTAAACTAAATAGTTCCATATTTGTCAATTAATGTAGAAAAATATTCATTTAGGTTTTTAATGAAGAAAACTTAAAAGCCAACGGAAGCATATAATTCTTAAATCACAGTGTATTAAAAAGATTTACAACATTCTCCTATTTTCATATTATAATATAATTTAAACCTGATATAACTGCAGTTTGTTATAATAAATTTATATTTGTTATGTGAAAAAATTATACTTTTGAAGATAGCTGTATTTTCAAGTTCTTCGTCCAGTGGCTAAAATTACATTTAGATATTTACACACAATTGATGAAGATCTGAGAGGTTGAAATTAGACAGTCATGTATAGAAAATACTTATAATTCTTAAAACAAGAATTATAAATGTATACAATGTATATGATATAAATAAATCCACGGATTAGAAGCTCATTATTTTCTGAATGCTAAAACATTCAGTATCAAAGTAAACAACCTTTTTTTTTGAAAAACAAAATATTTTGAAACTGAAATGTATATTTTATTTGAATTTGTTATCCTAAAATGTTTTCATTGATAAATATGTCATTTAGATTATCTTTAGTTCTGATATATGTAACTGGCTTAGTTTTGAGTACAATTTCTTAACAATTACAAACTTTAGTGTGAGAACAGCCCCTAAGAACTGTGCTGCTTTGTCATCATGAAGTGTGAAATGTTCGTGTCCTTGATGCCCATTTTATGTACCTATACACTTAGCCTGTCTACACCAGCCAACTTGCATTTTTAGCTACACTTATATAAACTAGAATGCATTTGGCACATTTTCAGCTTTTGCTCTGGAATCACTTTTTTGGCTTTCTCTCTGTTTTTCTTTTTTTCAAGCAAACTTACTATCACAGTTACTTGATACTTTTTTGAATATATTTTATACATGTATTCATTACCTTGATGTGCACTCTAAAATTGTACCAACGTGTTCATTTAACTAAACAAACAATGCTTTAGGAATATATGTACTATAATGTTTAATTATTAATTTTGTGTAAAATATAAGAATTCAGTTTTTAATTGATATTATTATTCACAGAGAAATATTTTCTGCTAGTTTTGGTTAATAAACATTTACTATACCCTACTGTATAGGTGGGTATTGTTTTTAATATATCTGAATTTGGTTAAGAAATTTCTTTAGTTCAGTATCTTCTAAAATATATATTTCTAGCCCAAGTTCACATGTACACAAATATACTATTTATGTTTAATGTAACAACCAAATTAACAATAGTCTTTTCAAGTAGTTATTTGTCAAAGGTGTCTGATCTCAAAAGTAATCTCAACTTTAAGAAGCATACATTTAAAATATGTTTACACAACACTGAACATATATTCCATAAAGATTCTCTCAAGCTATAATTCTATAAACTAAAGGTAATTTGAATATAATTCCCTACTTGTTTTAAAAGTGGTCAGTAATTCTTAATTTTTACATAAAAATTAATGCAAATACACCCACAAAACTACATTCACATGTGAACACAAACTTATATATATGTATGTGTGTGTCTAAACTATAAAGTCACGTATATCATTGGTTACAGCTCATTATGTTAATTTTCATACATATGATGTTAGTTTTATGCATTCACTCATTCATTCTCAAGCATTTCACTCAGTCATCTTGAATTCATTTAGATGTAAAACAGTCACAGCAAAAGCCCAGCTTTCTCTAGTGTGTAATTACAAAACATTGCTGTACAGTTGGATGACATGAATACAAGCTCATAAATCTGCCTTTTCTGAATCTAAAATGCCATCAAATATTTATAAGTTTTAATTTTTTAAAATTAAAATTGTTTAGTTTCTTAAGGGATTTTTTAGTTATGTTTTAGAAATAGGCTAAAGGCATTTATTCTGTTGAAGATAAGAACAAACAACTCTTTCATTTTTACTTTAATAACAGCTAAACATTTTCCAAGTTTACAGTTACATTTTTTTATGTGTGCAGTTACCCTGGTTTTTCCAAGAAAGATTAGTTAAATATGTACCTGTTTAATGTATACTTGAAAGATTTTAGGTATTTATATGTAAAAAAATTTTACGTGTAACAAAAGTATATTTTCAGTTTCATTTACTCTGTTCATCAGACTTTAAATAAGATCATATAGTGATTGAGCTGTAGCTGAGTACATAAATACTTTAATAGTTTCACACATTTTCAAGTATGTATGAATTAGGTATGCTGAACAATAAATTGCTGTTTAATTAAATACAAGCATATTTATTATGTGAAATAATAATTTAGATATACAATGAACTTGTTTAATTCTGACAAAAGATGTTAAAAACAGTTCAGTGTATCTGTATAAACACACACACACATATATATATATATATACATTAATGACAAAACTGCTTTACAGGGGCTCAGCTATTGCTAGAATCATAGGAACTAATACTTTAAAGAATGGAAAATTTGACAGTACTGTCCAGATGTATGTTTTTGAAGAAATAATAGATGGGCAGAAGCTAAGTGAAATAATCAACACAAAGCATGAGAATGTGAAGTATTTGCCAGGCTTTTCTATACCTCCAAATGTGGTAAGTGATATGTTTTGTTTCATATTTGTAATAAAAGAATATATCTTAAGATTTACAATAGATGTACAAGGCATGTATTGCAAACTTATGCAGGATATTTCTTGATATTTATGACTTTATTCTAAAATGCATGTACATGTAAATTATCTGCAACAAGTAAAATTTTTTTATAGTTAACTTAATATATAATTCATTTTTCATCCAAAAAATAAAACTTTACTTCATAAACATTTTATTTGATATGATAAAGAAAGGTTTAATTTTTCATAGACAATGAACTTTTAAAATGATAAAATGATCTATGTTAAAACATCTGTTGAAATAAAGGGGTAAATCAACTTTCAGATTTAGTTGGAGGAACCCATTAATATAAAGTAGAAAACTTATATGGGTAGATGCTTATAGTGTTGTTGAAGGCATAAAAATTGATGATCTGTAAGCATTAGATGCTGTTAGAAGTAAAAATATTGTATAACGTTGTGTTGTTAAAACTGTATAAAATAATCTTTCAAGAAAATGAAGTTACAAGGTAGAATTATTAAGCCTGTTATTCTTATTGTATTGTTCCAATTATGAGAAAATAATAGTCTGATACAATACCTTACCTCCTCTCACGTAATCAATTTTCTCAACGATTACTGCTCTCTCTATATGCACAAACTCTTACTTGCCATTACTTTTGCACTCCCAAGTACTTCTACGTGTTTGCACATGGCACAGCTGCACTGTAGCATGTAAATTAAGATGCGATAACCAATAAGAGTGCAACATACCCTCCTAGCACAGCTGACTCCCTCTATATTGTAGAATCCAATCTTCACTTCTTGATTTGGCATTTTTGTGTTCAAACATATAGCTCGTCACTACTTTGTACATTTTTTTTGCTCTTGGTTGTCCTCCACCTGCCTTCATTAAATATTTTCCTTTAACGTTTTTTTTTCTTTTCTTGAATTTCCAATTTTACTTTCTTCAAAAGCTCAAAAGTGTTGCCCACTCTTTTTGTAAAATGAATTCTCCATTTACTATTACCACTACTTCAACTGATACGTATACCACAACTCAACGACCTGCTATTACTATGGCTTCAGGGACTACCTTATCTGGAGAAGAGGTTTTGGCTCTTGTCCACCAATAACTAGAGTCTTTTATGTATAATGAGAGTTCTCCTGAACTTTGTCCAGTTCTCCACTTCTCTGTAGAAGCTGGTTAGGATGAAGAGGATTTTGACAGCCATTTTCCACCACCTTCCTTTGCCATGCAATCTTGATCTATGCTTTTAGAAGCACTTCAGCCTTTGTCTGCATTCCTATGCATGTTGATACAAGTTTCTTCCATTTTTATTATTATTCCATATGTCTTATTATCCCTCCCCTTCCCTTTGGTGTGATACCCCTTCCTCTGATTACTTAGTTCTCCCTCCTTCTCCTGATATCAGGGTTTATGCTAAATGTTGTGGATCAGTTGCATTTGGGTGTCAGCATGCCTCATCCCCCTTGTACCTCTGAGGTTCACGCATTGGAATATCATTGCTCCACAACTCCATTTCATGATTCTCAATACTTGGAATCATTAATTCAGGTTTGGGGTTCGGGCCCCAATGCATCAATTCGTTTTTCCCAGACCCAGTTCTTCTGCCTTCATTTGACCCTCACCATCCTCTTTCATTACCTATTCACCAAGCATCTCCTCTTTCATGTAGAGGCTGCTCGACAGCACACTTCCCTGTCTTCCCTTGTAACTTGTCTGTTTCAGTTTTCTCCCACTTTCATCCATATCCTGCCTTTTCTGTACCTTCTCCATATATTTTGATGATATAAGTCAACATATTGCTCAATGCTGACTCTTATGCTGCTAACGGTCTAGTGAGTATGGGCCCATTGGGGTCAGATTGTCCAGATTTGCCCCTCTTTGGCACACCATCACCTTAGATCCTTTGGTGCTTTATTCTTGTCAGAGGGACTGTTGCTTCATTTTCTCACCCCTCCTCCTTGAGATTCCTTGCCAGTAAAGGTCTTTCCTAGGTGGTTCAAGATCTTCTTTTCAAGGATGCTACCAAACCCATTGTTCACCCTATTCTGGGGTTCTATTCCTGGTTGCTCATCATCGCCAAAAAGAACTGCTACATAGACCTTCCTCATTTCACCATGGAGTCTTTCCTGTCTTTTCAATGGGCTTTTACTCCAGGTCTTTGGATGAAGAAGGTGAACATATCGGATGTATACCTTCACATCCCTATTTCTCTGACATCCCATCATTACCTTCAGTTTGTTCACAAAGGCTGGATCTATCAGTTCACTGCCCTTCCATTTGTTCTGGTTTTGGCTCCCTATGCTTTCTGTTGGTAGTCAAGGCTTTTGTCCATCTATTACATTCTCACAGTTTGTGATTCCATCATTATATGGACAACTGGCTGATTTTAGCTCCTTCACTATAGGTATATTATGGCCATACACAGTTTATTCTCAAAAAAGCTGCTCATTTGATTGACTTGTCAAGGTTGAGAAGTCTGTTCTTATCCTGACTCAATATCTCTTCCATCTCAGAGTTTTTCAACTCCCATCTCAGTCAGGCCCAGCCTTTTCCCTTTTGACTGAATTCAGTAGAGCTATTGATTCTGAAGGCTCATTTGTCCCCTTCCCTACCTGCTATCTCTTTTGGGTACTTGGGCTTTCATGGAAGCCCTTATTCTCCTGGGTCATGTTCACATGAGAGCACTCAAAAAAGAAATTTGCAATATCAATGGAATCTCCCCAGGGATCTCCCAGATTCATTGATTCTCATTCCTTCCTCCCTTCAAATTGATTTTGCCTGGTAGCTTGACATGGACAACACCATGGCTGGGAGTTCATCTTCAACCTTTTTGAACTGATATACATCTTTTTACAAATGCATCTTTGAGTTTGGGCATATTTGGACTCTTAAGAGGTCTAAGGTCATTGGCCTTTGGGCGAGTCAAAATCTCATATCATTATTCTTGAACTCCTTGCAGTTCATAGGGCTTTGGATAATTTCCAGTTTTGTGGGGCAAATTGGTCATGATCCATTCAGACAATTTGATCACTGTCTCTTACATGAATCAACAAGGGGGCACCCAATCATGCTCCCTGTATTTTCAAACTTTAGATCTCCTTTTCTGGGCCCATAATCAACATGTTTACCTCTTGGCTTGTCATATCCCAGGCACTCTCAATCTTGTTGTGGATCGTTTATCTTGTCCCATCAAGATTCTCCTCATGGAGTGGTCCCTAGTTCCTCAAGTCTTCCGATGGTTGTGTTCACAATGGGTACTCTTCTGCTGGATGTATTTTCTACCCACCTCAATAACAAACTTCCTCTGTTCTGGTCCCCAGTTCCAGTGAGGATTGGACCAACCTTTACCTTTATTCTTACCCTTCTATCCATCTCCTTCTCAGAGTTTTGTCCATCATCCAAACCACTCCATGTCGAGTACTTCCCATTGCCCCATTCTGGCCTGCTTGGCCCTGGTTCTCATTACTTCAACCATTTCAGTCATCACCTCCATTATCTCCTCCTCTATCCACATCCTTCTTCCACCAACCTCACTCATCTGTATTTCATCCTACCATTCCCACATGGCTGTATGACAATGGTCTCTCTGTATTGATCATTGCAAGACAGAGAGCAACTTTGTTCTCTACCTTTAGTTTTCCTGTTTCGACTGTGTGTTTTCCTCTTCCATCTTCTCCCTTTTCAATTTTTTCATCTCCTCTGTCCTCTTCGCCTCTGCACACTTACTGGATTGGAATTTTACTGTCATTCTGCATGCCTTTACTGTACTTCCTATACCACATTTCCTTGAAGACCTATTTCCTGCTCCTTTTGATCTGTGATTGTCATCGATTGAATGTGTTTGTCCTCGATGTATCTCATATCCTATACTTATGTTCTCCTTTATCTCGATTGCAGTTTCCTCATCAAGACTTCAGCACCTTGTGAGGGTAGTTTTGCTGTCACTCCAATTTCTCTACCTTCCATTTCCCATTTATGTTCCTGTTCTATTCTAAATCACCTCCTTTATCCATTCTGGGCTCTCAGATGTTATGTGGCATGCAATGCTTCCTTCCATGGTTTCTGTTCCTGACTCTTTCACCACTGGAATCCTTTTTCCTCCCGTTACCTTTTCCTAATTACACTTACAAGTTGGATTCACCAACTTATTTGTTTGGCTTATTCTTCCTTGTCCTCCAATTCCCATTGTCTTTTCCAGGTATTCTCCTACCAGATCTGCTACCTCACCATGTCCCTGGCAGCTCATTTCTGTCATCTGTAAGAGGAGATAATCCAGGCTGTCGTGTGGACTACACTGCACATTTTTTGTCACCCATTATCTTAATCATTTGGCCATCTTCTCCTCAACCAGATACCATTTGCCTCCTGTCACCATCTTGCTCTCTTCGGTTTTACTATGAGTGGGTAAGTTTTTATTTTAATTTCCTTTTCACTTACAGTGACCCTATGCTTCCGGTTGGACCCTGCTCTGTGGTGAGTGGTGCCTGTCTATGTATAATATTTATTTGAAGAACCCCATCCTACCTCCTCCTGGATGTTGGTTTCCAGGGAGTCTGGTTCTGGATGTGAGCTGGACCAGCCATCTAATCCACACTGTATGACCTTAAGGTCTATAATGCTCACTGTTGAGATGGGGTATTCCTTAAGACTGCTAGTAGGTTCATAGACAATTATGAGTAAAGCAGGGAAGGAATTACTGCCCATTCTTCCATTTCTGGTCCAATTCTGCAAGTTTGGTCTGCTTTTGAAAATATGGTTCCATGGTCACCCTTTGCACTTTTTCTGGTGATGCGTTTTTCCAGACCCCCCCCCCCCCTCTTCTAGTGGAGTACGGGAGTCCTTACCACTTACCAGCTCCTAGCCATTGAGGTGGTAGACCATGGAGGCTTCCTCCTGAGTGTGCTTAATCCCACTCTGTTGAGAGTAGGGCAGTGGTGTTCTGCCATTGTAAGTGATGTAAACTCTCCTCCTATGGTGGGCCTGATGCACAATTTCAGATGCTGCCTGGTTATGGACTGGATGAATCCACCACATGCAGTTCACTCCTCCAGCAGGGATCCCTACTTCCTCCTACCACCACCTGCAGGTGTTGGTTGAGCTGGGACCCTTCTCCTACCATGGACTGGATTATACATTCCCAATGCCACCTTGTTGCATCCTACCTTCTTACCATTACCTGGATGTCAAGTTCTTGAGTGGCTGGTGTTGGTTGTGTAATAGGTATGCACGCATGTGCTGGCCTGGGTTTTCAGAACAGAAGTCCTCTTTTCCTACTGATTCCTGAGCCTGAGATGAAGATGGTACGGAACCTTCTCCAATTGTAGCACAGATGCTCCATTCCTTGAGCCACCAGGTTTTGGACTGGAGTTGACCCACCAATTATGATCTGACACGCCCTAGCCACTCTACATCACTCGTGCATCCATTTCTTGGATGTCCTTTATTCCACCCTTTTTTGTGCCACATTTCTTCACACAGGCGAATATTATACCTGGTACAGATGTGGTGCAGTTTCCCTTGGGTGTGACCCCATCCATTGAGATTTCACACTCCATGAGCTCTTTTTGGACACTTTCTGAAGGGTGCTTGTCCAGGTAAATTTGCACTGGTCTCTCCATCATTTCACTATGGAATTCTAGCTATTTTATGAGCATAGGTAAGGTATTGTATCAGAAGTTAACATTTTCTAACACTGAAAATGTATTTCTGATAGATACTTACCTCGACTCACACTTCCTACCCATCCTCCCCACTTCCAGTGCTTACTTTTTGCCTAATCTTGAAGCAAAGATTGGGTTCTACAGTATAGGGGAGTCAGCTGTGCTAGAAGGTTGTGACACACTCCTATTGGTGGAGGGTTATTGCATGCTAATTTGCACACTACAAAGCACCTATGCCACGTGGGAGTACAAGGTTAGTGGCAAGCAAAAATATACACATAAAGAGGGCAGTAATCATCAAGACAAATTATTATGTGAGATAAAGTAAGTATCTGTCAGAAATACATTTCAGTGAAGGAAAATGTTAACATTTGTACAGATTTAGAGATTGTTATTATTTTCATTTAAATTAATAAAAATATGTATAAAATTTGATGGCAAAATCTAGAAAGGTATTTTAGAAAAAGGAAATAAAATGGCAAATAGCAGCTAAGGTTTAGATTCTGTGCATATTGGCAGCATTTATTATTTGTCTTATTTCATTAGTCTCTCATTTGCTCTCATGTCAGCTATTATTATGTTCTGCACACAATAAACTAAAACAGCTTGATAACCTCTTAACCATTACCTGTTATGCTGCAAGTACTGATAATAAGTGAAATAAAATTTTAAAAGACAAGTAACCACAGGACTTACAAAAAATGTTTCATTCTGTGTTTTTCTACTTGGAGAAATAAAACTTAATGCCATTGGGAATACTGAGGAGTAAAATGTATCAAAAATAAAAGCAGTGTATTATTTAATATCAAAATGTTTTTAGAATTCAGATATTTTACTCAAAACCTAACTTTTAGTTACATTTGTTTCAACATAGAAAATAAAGAGAAATGATAAAACTGTAACTCAAACATTGTTGACTAAATTATGTACTGAACAATAAATGGTTAAATATTTGGATTTTACAAGTCATTTTACAAATTATTATAATATTAATTATCTTGTGCATATCCTATGATACTTGCTTTCCTATATTGCAAATAATATGTGAAAAATTACTCATGAAAGATATTACCATTCAATAAATTACACTACATATCAGACTAGTAGTAAAAAGATGTTTGTATTTTTTAGTTTTTGTGAACTTTCTTTAATAAAATATTTGATTCTCTTTAATTCTAAGTACAAGTAACAAGTATTTTGAAATTATTACTCTTATTTCCTGAAATATATTTATAGTTGGATCATAAATTTATCATCACAAACATGCTACATGTTTTAGCAAATCACTAAAAAATTTCAAAAACTGAGATATTGTTACATTTACAGCACTATGCGATATTTGTTTTCTATGTGTTTTCTTATTAGTGTTGATGTATAGTTTCTGATTGTTAAAACTCAGTCTTTTTTGTTTTTAGGTGGCTAACCCTGATATTGTCGATGCTGGAAAAGATGCTGACATTTTTGTATTTGTACTACCTCACAAGTTTGTCAGAGCAGCCTGCCAGCCATTGGTTGGGAAAATTAAACCTACAGCCATTGGTCTATCTCTCATCAAAGTAAGTTAAGTAAAATTGGCTGATATTTAAATGTATTAAAGCACAATAGAAAGTGTACTGTTATGCCATGTTTTTATAAGTGTTTGAGCACAATGTAATACTAATGACTTTACATGAAATTTAGAAATATTTTTATATATTGCTTTTATATTTGAAACGATGTAGATTCTATGAGATGTTTACAAAGCATTATAGAACAATAATAGCTCTTTTCAGAAAGCAGCAATTAGAGAGTAGTTTTTTTATATCTAATGATATTGTATCTTATTCATATTGAAAACAGAGAAACAGCTTAAACCATCAGAAGAAATATGGAATAAGTTTTATAATGATGAAAGAAATAATACATAATTACTAAATTCTATGTTGTAAGTAATAAGAAAAGTGCAGTGCTGTATGATACATATTGTTTTACATTTTGGTATTTTATATATATATATATAATAAGAAAGGAGTGATATATGTGTATATACAAATGTTCTTAGTAAATTATTTTTAAGGGTATTTGTTTGTTTTTGCTAGTACCTAAATAAAATTATTTAGTATTTACTAATATTATACTTATTATATATA